TAGGAATAAAATATAGAATTAATTAATGGAGAATTCTGACAGTAAAGATACTTAACATTTGGCAAAATGGTTGTAAATGTTGATTAACACTGTTCCTTCATCCACCATCTTCTCTCTCGTGGAATGCTCCGAATAACGGAGGGCTTTAATGGGAGAGTTCCGACAAATACAGTTCCGACAATTTCACACAGCTGTTTAATTACAATAAACCTATAAGAATAGGAAAAAGTGGTTACATTTTTGGTTTAGAAGTGTTCCTACTTAAACGAGCATATTTGTGTTGAATATTCAAGTATCACTTTCTGCCTTTCAAGAGAGGGCGCTCTTTACATGTACTGGTCTTAACAGGAAAAAATCGGCCCTGTGCAGCAGAGGGTTTTTATTAACATGGTAAGTGGACTTTCGAGGGTCGAGGCACTTGGTAGCAGCCTACTTCCAGAAATGTGCCCTCCAGCCTCACTACTTCTTAAAAATTCATAACGCTATCCGCTTTGAGCAAAAGCGCCCCCTCATCGGTTGAAATGAGCCATGTTGGCGTGGAGTGTACATTGTGTTGGTAGTGACGCGTGCATGTTGTAGTCGTTTGTGAACCAGCGAAGTGCAGTTACACCAAAGGAGCCTCAAGCGCTGGGAAAATTACGCCCTCTCTTGGTCCAGACCGGGCTTATTTAGTTTTAAATGCAGCCAAGTCGGATCAGATCAATCAGGGTGCAATCAAAATTAAATTGAATTAAATCTTGCCCCCCCCTCCAAGCTGTCCAAGCTGAATCAAATCTTTCCAACACTTTTGACTTTGTGTTTTGACCATGTGACCGACCATTTCCTTTACAAATCGGAGCTTTTTTCTCCCCACCCTATCCTCCTTAAGACGATGATCCCAGCACAACGGGCATTCAGTTTGCATGCATTTCACCACGCATGCGTCGGGTTAATTGCCAACTGCCGTATATCGGTTCGACCATTTAGGGGGGGGGGACTTTTTTATTACGCGACCGTCAACTTGGCTTAACACGCAAAAATGGTTTAGGGGATTTGAGGCCCAGATGAGTTGTCCCAATCTAGACAGGAGTGAGGAATTGAAATCCCTGAGTGTAACAATTAAAAAAATAAAGTGTTAATATTTAAAAAAAAAAACCCGAGTGACTATAGAATGGCGTGTAACCGTCCTGGCACAACAGTGTACCCTTGCCAGGATTTTAATTTCTTAGTTAAACTTTGTTAAATGCAAGTCCTTGATAAGAATCTCTTCATACGAAACTTACATTCAACAGGCCACACAGATACAAGCAGAGTAAACGTGAAAGGCGTATTTCCATATATATTGAATCAAACATGGCTTTCATTAGTCTTTATGGAGTCTGCATAATATTGAGTAATTCCTACTATTTTCCCGAAATAAACCATGCTGTATTTGTTTTACTACACTTCATATTCAAACAGAAATCTCACGTTACTTTTTTCTCACAGACGCCATTGTTGTTTCTCAGCTGCTAAATTTCCATGTAATGACAGTGGAGTGCAGATGTGCATAGAAACAGGGCTGCGAAATGTCTGGTGCTGACACACGTTCCGTAAAGATTACATGACACAGACTACATATTTACGCGGCGGGTTCCAGAGGGATTTTTTGATGCTACCAGAAAAAACTACCGCTCGGCAGCGAGGTGGATACTCACCGCTATGACGTCACCTGGTCGCGTATCATTTCTACTTCCCAGACGCGAGGTGAAATCGGCCAATGACGGGCTCCGATTTTCAAATGAATATTTATGAGGTGTAGTAATAAGTTTTCCAAGCGGGTTCTTGCATGTGTAGGCAAAGACCATACATAAATTCGTTACATATACCCGACGTTCCCCGACGGATAGAAATTGTCGACCATTTTCAACAAAGCACTGCAAAGTAGCCTTTCCGTGGCAACCTCTTGGTGGCGCACTGTATTGTAGATTACCCATACTGAAGCCCACCCTGCCACAGCGTTTCACAGACATATTCCTTTGAGTGGTTTCAACACATTCTCGTTAATCTATGATAAGGCAAATAAGGCATACATGCTTGTAAGCCGATTATCCCCCGTGAAATCGAGGTAACTAATCATAAAGCAATTGGATGGACATATTTCAGGGAATATTCATTCAATGATTCCTAAACCTCTTTGGAAATTCTTACACAAAGGCGTCTTTCTCTACAGAAAAACAAACACTACCAATACTGCTTAAATGCAGCATGCAGTAAGAAAACCTGCGTACAAAATCTAAAGGATGATTTTTTATTGGGTCGGATTCGATACTTTTGAGTTTAACTTCCGATAAATTAAGTTTACTGAAGTCAGACGGACAGTTTGCTTTCTTTTTATAGATTTTTAGGAACGTGCCTTACAGAAAAAATAAACCGAATTTTATTTTAAATGAAAAATGAGTTTAATGCCAGGAAACATTATCAGAAATCTGAACATCGACTGCTGTTATAGGGTTCTCTTTTTCACTCGATTGCAGAATTAGTAATCTGTCTTTACACATTTAATATTATGATCGATAATTGGGGCAAAAGAAGTAGAACTTACTGTTATGCAACTGTAGACTACGAAAAGCCCGTAAGTGATGGACTAAAGTGCATTCAATGCAGACTTTTCAACAATTAGACATGCTTTCCGTTATTATCCAAAACGATACTGCAAAAGAAAACTACTAATACATGCCATTTGGACGCACTTGCATTCAGTGAATGTATACACAAAAACATTATTAACAAAAATGAATAATTTGACAAATGAAAGTAGTTGGTGTACACCCAACAGTATAACACAATGGAAGTTTTAATCACACAGTTGTAGTGCGACAACCACCGTGAAAATTCAGAGTCACACATTTTTGACACAAACCATACTAAATCTTTCAGAGTCTTATACATCTTAAAATACTTGTGCATAATATTTTTTGTGCTAATAAAAGGTAACATAACAAAGATTACATGATCAAACACAAATTTAATGCCCTTTTCTATCCAGTAAGTGTCATATAAAATAGCACAAATCACTTTTCGATTCCGAATTCTACCTTTACAAAGCTGAAGCATTTAAACTGAGGGTTATTCGGCCTCATCTAGCTTTCATTGTGCCCACGCAGCATGATATAAATACATATATATTCAGTGATAAAGCCTCTCAATAGCGATGTCATAAATAAAGTA